TCATGAATGAATAAATATATGTAGACACTAGTGTATTTTATAGTTTACTACTCTAAAATATACACAATCTATTATAAGAAGTTAAAATTTATCAAAGCTTATGTACACATTTACAGACTGTACATTGTGCCATCATAATTGAGAGATGCAAACAGATATAAAGATGCAGTATTAAAGCATAACCGCATAAAATGAACTGTAGTACATACTGTACTCCTGTAATAATTTTATAGCCACGTCCTGCGGTGAGCTCAGGTGTTGTGAGTATCCCTTATAATGCCCTGTGCCCCTAATCATCTCTGAATAGGCTCTTCTTTCTCCAGTAAATGGTGGATCCCAATAAAAAGTGATCCTTGTGGTTCTCGCATTTTTCATCATGTTTAGTGCAATACCATAAATGTTGAATAACACCAGAGGACCCATACAAAGTGCACTAGTCATGCTGAAGTGCTCCCAAGAAGCAGAGAAAAGTTAAGACATTACAAGGAAAAGTTGAATTGCTTGATAGATTGAGGTCTGCAGCTGCAGTTGCCCACTATTTTAGATGGACGATTCATCTTGTGAACAGATGATGCAGACTTACAGTATTGATAAATGTAGTACAGTACTCTAAATGTATTTTCTCTTCCTCATGACTTTCTTAATGTTTTCTCTTCTCTGTAAGAATACAATATATAATACATATAACATACAAAATTTGTGTTAATTGATCTCAGTAAGGCTTCTGGTCAACAGTAAGCTATTGGTAGTTAAGTTTTAGAGGAGTTAAAAGTTATAGGCAGGTTTTAGACTGCTCAGGAAGTCAGTGCCCCTAACCTCCACATTGTTCAAAGATCAACTGTATATATAATACAATGACCAATACTCTGAGCTGGCAAGGAGGTTTATAAGTATGACTAACTAAATATAAGTCTGTCCCCAAGTTCTACTTTTTGGTTCTGGCCTTCAGTCTGTCCATCTGCTTTCTCTGGACCTCTTTCTGACACTTTGAATTTTTTAAATAGTTTGTCTCTCATATATATTTTTTTCTATTCCTTTTTCCATTCCCATCCTTCCTTTCCTCCTTTCCCTCCCTCCCTTCCTCCCTTCCTCCCTTCCTTCTTTCCTTCCTTCCTTCCATCCATCCATCCATCCATCCATCCATCCATCCATCCATCCATCCATCATCCATCCATCCATCTTGAGGCTTTAGGTGAGTTCTTCACCATTTATTTAACAAACATTTTATGTGAGTCTTACTATATGCCACGCACATTTTAATGCATTTTATAAATATAATTCCCTATAACAATCCTATGAGTTGGGTACTATTATGGTTCCTATTGTACAGATGAGGGAACTCCCTCACAGGAGTTTCTAGTGGCCCTATAGCCATTTGCCATACCCAATACAAATTTTTGTGGCAGGCTGCGGGTGGGTATAAAGTTAAAACAAAAGCCTCTGCTTCTGAGTTGGTCAGTCATTTACCTGTAGAGCTGTGCTTTGTCTGTAAAGGACAATGTAGTTGTGTGATCAGGATAGTTGCCACAGAACACACAAGGGGTTTAGGCATGACCTTCCTTGCCCCAATGGCATTCAAGAACTTTTTCCTTCCTGGCCTGCAGTCTGATACATACACACATAGAAACACAGACACACATACACACACACAGAACATATGTAACATTCATGCCATAGGTTTAAAGCAGAGTACAATGGCAAAAACACAAGCTTGAAACTTGGTGACATCTGAGCTTGACTTCAGCCTCTGTCACTTATTATGTGTTTGATCTTGGGCAGATCACTTAATCACTTGGAGCTTTGGTTTTCTCCGATATGAAATGAAGAAGATGATGGTAGTTATAATAAAAACTCTAATGACTGAATGAGATGATGTATTTGAATCCTTAGCCCAATGATTTGCACATAGAAATGTTCAATACATGTTAGAAATGTTTGTGATTATTAGTATGTAAGGCTTCTTTATATATTAAAGATAATTCACCCTCTGGCATATATATAGCTCGCATAAACTGAATTTTGAGAACCCAGAGCAATGCTTGTCTTTATCTAGGGACTTAACTGTTTTGGATCTTTATGTTAGTTTTATCTTCATCTTTGGCCATCCATAGGCCCTTATCAGTTCCATCAACCCCAAGATTTAACTTTTGGTGCCCAAATGTCTAATTGACCCTGTGCAAATGCTAACATTTCGTTTGAGGTCCATAGCAAAGCCTGGCACCAGAATCCAGCTTTTTTGTTTGTTTGTTTGAGATGCAGTCTCGCTTTGTCACCCAGGCCGGAGTGCAATGGCATGATCTTGGCTCACTGCAACCTCTGCCTCCCAGGTTCAAGTGATTCTCCTGCCTCAGCCTCCTGAGTAGTTGGGACTACAGGCGCCTGCCACCTTGCCCAGCTAATTTTTGTATTTTTAGTAGAGACGGGGTTTCGCCATGTTGGCCAGGCTGCTCTTGAACTCCCTACCTCAAGTGATCCTGCCTTGGCCTCCCAAAGTGCTGGGATTACAGGTGTGAGTCACCACACCCAGCCCAGAATCCAACTTTCATCTGGACTGTTGATGTGATTTTTTTTTTTTTTTTGCTCTCCCAGGGTGAGTTTTTATGTTGTGGCTGTCACATAGGAGGGCCCAGGGGCGGGATTAAGCCAGATTCTACTTCACTGAAGGCCTGGAATGGCTGTTAATAGCTCCTGCTGTAGATACTAAGGCTTGAGCCAGAATTTTTAGTACTCCGTTTGTCAGGTTTGTCAGACACGGGGTGCCACCTTGAATGACACTGCCGAAAAAGGGTTGTGGTAACCTGGCCAGCCCCAGGGAGGCTGGAGTGACATTGCATTGGTGTGCCTCTTCCCTTTTATGGACCAGGTCAAGCCTTATTAATCTGAGGGAGTGTGATGGCCTTGGGTAGCCAAACAGCCTTTTCCACTTTAGTTATCCTTTGAAATCTTATTAAGCCAGGGGCAGGGAATGAAGAAGGAGGTGGAGAGACCCTTGAAACTAAAAGGAAGGAAAGAGGAACATTCTCACCCTCCACCTGAGGTCATACTTTGGCAGGAGGAGGGGACCAGGGGCTTCTATACAAGGCAGCAAGAGAGATGTAAGAGTTTGGGGTCTGCAGTCAGATAAACCTGGTTTTGAACTCTGACTCTACTCTCTTATGTGTAATGTTGACCAGATCACCTCACTTCTCTGAAACGCGTTTCCTTATCAACAAAATGGGAAAAGTAATTGTACCTATCTCAGAAGATTGGTATAAAAATTAAGCAAGAAAGTTCATGTAAAGCAGTTAATCAGATACTTGCCTGGAATATTATTATTTTTCTTCTGGTTCTTGATTAAGGATGGCTGGAATATATTAAGTGCACACCATCACTATTCACAAAGTTTTGGTGACAAAGAACAATAGGAAGAAACAGACTAGGGGAAGTGAAAAGCAGTCTTGGGGTTTCTGTGCCATTCTCCGGGGTCTTCTTGTAACATCTTTTAGTCTTTCTCCCTTCCCTTCTTCCCTCCCTCCCTCCCCTCCCCTCCCCTCCCCTCCCCTCCCTCCCCTCCCCTCCCCTCCCCTCCCCTCGTCTTGCTCTCTCACCCAGGCTGTAGTGCAGTGGCATGATCTTGGTTCACTGCAACCTCCACCTCCTGAGTTAAAGCAATTCTTGTGCCTCAGCCTCCCGAGTAGCCAGGATTACAGGCACCTGCCACCATGCCTGGCTAATTTTTATATTTTTAGTAGAGATGGGGTTTTGCCATATTGGCTAGGGTGGTCTTGAACTCCCGACCTCAGCTGATCCGCCAGCCTCTGCCTCCCAAAGTGCTGGGATTATAGGCATGAGCCACTGCACCCAGCCACATCTCTTAGTCTTACAAACACATCTGTGAGTGCCAAGAGAAGAGCTGAAGTTCTAGGGAGTCTTCAACATGTGGACTGTTTTCCCAGCCAGGGCATAGGAGGTATGCTGTGTGAGCGTGTGTGTGTGTGTGTGTGTGTGTGTGTGTGTGTGTGTGTGTGTATGTGAGAGAGCGAGAGCGAGAGAGAGAGAGAGAGAGAGAGAGATTGATATCGACCTGCAGCTAGTGTTGAGGTCTAAGAGGCATGTTGCCTCTGTGGTGGTTGTCCATAACCCATCAAATCAATGTTTCTTCAAGAGGAACAGACTGTCATTCTTTTCATCTCTCTTAGTAGTAAAGAACCATTTTCCTTTAATAATGAAGGAAGCTACTTAAATCCATCCCCAGAGCCCTCACAAGCAGGGTTTGTTCCTGAGTTAATTGTGCTTGACTTAGGAAGGGTTTCTAATATGCATGTACTTTAACAAGTCTGGCATTGGGATTGGGAAACAGTATCATTAACCAGTGCTGGAGACCAGTGGTTTTCTTCTTATTTTTTCTTTTTTTGTTTTGCTTTTAAGTCACAGAGCCCAATATGTAAATGAAAGCCTGGAAGGCTGCTCACTTTTGCTCCTGAGGGCATTTCTAAGAAAGTGGGGAAATACAGTTTGCAAAACACTGCAGTTGGCTTCCTGGGTTGTAGCAATATTTTTCTGTCTAGGTCTCTGTTTGGGGAAAAGGATTATACATGACAGTGTAAATAAGCAGCCATGTTATAATAAATAGGTTTCTACTGTAATAACAGAACACTTACCTCCCGTAGTTCCCCTTTTCTAATGCCGCCCAAGCTGTAGCAGTTGAAGCTGTTGATTGGGACTGACTGAATGTTTAGGGAGCACAGAGCTCATTATGTAATAAATTGTTGTAACCAAAGCATGTTCAGGAGGTGTTCGGGGGATTCTGAGCCAGTGATGGTGCTCTTCAGAACATTTCAGTTAATACAAAATATGCCACTTTTAATTTATTTTGTGCAAACTCTAGTGCCATTTTCCACAGAGAGCAACTTGTATACATAGTTCTCTTCCATATGGCGTGGCTTAACGTGACATGTCTTTTTTCTCCCTTTGTATCAGGGACTGAGTATGACCTGAACTTTATCTTTCTCTCCCACTAGGCTACAGATGCACATGTTGAATGGAGCTCTTCTGGCATTGCTCTTTCCTGTGGTAAACACTCGGCTGGTAAGTAGCCCCTTCTGGAAATGTACCAGCAACATCCAAAGCAGTACTTGTCCATATGCCCATGTGATTTTAAAAATATACATATAGCTGGCTGGGCGCGGTGGCTCACGCCTGTAATCCCAGCACTTTGGCTGGCCGAGATGGGCGGATCACTTGGGGTCAGGAGTTTGAGACCAGTCTGGCCAACATGGTGAAGCCCCATCTCTACTAAAAATACAAAAATTAGCCAGGCATGGTGGTGTTTGCCTGCAATCCCAGCTACTCGGGAGGCTAAGGCAGAAGAATCACTTGAACCCGGGAGGCAGAGGTTGCAGTGAGTCAACGCTGTGCCACTGCACTCCAGCCTGGGCGACCGAGTGAGATTTGGTCTCAAAAAAATAAAAAAGTAAAATAACCAGGGCAGACCAAAGAAACCTATACAAACTCTTTGAGAGGTTTAATGGAAAGAAAGGAGCTTTCAGGTGTCCTAAGATTCAGCCACACTGGCCTTGAGTAATTTGCTGTGGGAGCCTCATAGCCTGTCTAGTTCTCCAAGGACTTCCTAGGGCAAGAATTAGATTCCTTCCCCATTCACCCAAACCCATGGGCCAGTCTGGACCAAACAGCCCCTAGTAGCTAGCAGGGAGAATCCCATGGTCGCAGCAGCAGGCTGGGTGATAAACCAGCCCAGAAAGAAGCAGGAGCTACAATGCTGGGCTGGCAGAGCTGTGTCCTCAGAATCCCAAATGTGGGACTGTGGAGGGATTAGCAGGTCACATTGAGAAGCTCAGAAAAAGAAATCACTTGTAAAATTATTACTACTGCTTTCTGACTTAAATTTGCCTTAAACATTAAGATCATAGTTTAAATCTTTAATTGATAATCCTCAGTTTTGGATAGCATTTTACAGTGTACAAGGCTTTTCGCATAACAGTGTTTGAGGTAGACAGGGCAAGAATTATGGCCTCTTGTTTTACAGAGGAAGAAAATTTTTCTCAGGGAGTAAAATTCCAAGTGGCAGTTAGGATTGGAGCCTAAGCCTCTTGATCCTAAAACCACAGCTATGCTTTGCTCCCTCTCCACAAATATTCCTGTCATCTCCTCCCCACAAATATTCATGTATACCTTTATGATAGTTATAATTTTCAAGATGCATGTCATATATCAGTAGAAGTTAACAGAGAAAGCATTCATCTAAAGCAGCAATTTTGAACCCTAATATGTTCCAGGCTCACCTAATTAGCTTGATTTAATCATTTCACAATGCAAACATATATCAAAACATCATACTGTATGTACTTTATAAGTACCCACAATTATTCGTCAGTTAGAAATAAAATTAAAAACAAACACTGATGCCCTGCCCCGCCCTTGGAGAGGATGAATTCATGATCTGTGATGAAGCCTGAGCATTGTGTTTTGAAAAGTTCCCCAGGTGATTCTAGCATGGAGTGGGAGTTGAGAACCCCTGATTTCATGCAATGATTCTGAAATGTAACATTCATAGCAGTCAACTGAGGGGCTTGTCAAACATGAGGCTTGTCAGGCTCCATCCCCAGAAGGTCTGATTGAGAGAGTCTGCAAGTAATGGCAGGGACTGAATGTTTGTAACAAGTCCCCAAGTGATGCCGATGCAGGGGGTCCTTAGACCACTCTTGAAGAATCACTGTCCCGGGTGTTCATAACTCACAGTTACTCCAAGTGTGTAACTCAAAGTATGGTCCTAGGATCAGCATCACATGGGTGTTGCTTGTTAGACATGCAGAATTTCAGGGGCCACCTGCAGACACCTGCATCAGAATTTACATTTTAGCAGGACTCCCAAGGTAGCTTATATGGACTAGATCTTTTCTGCCAAGGACCCCAAAGCATCTTACAGATAAAGCATTTGAGCTTTTGATGGAGGGTAACGTCTGTGTTGGGGAGTGCAGGGGGCACAGCCTCTGTCTTAATAGGGTGCACTTGGTTCAACATTCCCCTGTGAGCTGGGATCAGTAGGCACAGGCCACTGACACAGGCACTGTTGCCCTGCCTTCTACATCTCCCATGGTCTGTGACTTGCCTGACTTCACCTGGTGAACTGTAGAATCAGAACTCCTGCCTTGGTCTCAGAGGTAGAGGGGATAATTTCAAAGAATGGTAAAAATAAACCAAATTGAAAAACAACAGTTAACAAAAAACAGCGAATTTCCCATACCACAGCTTAAGTCCTTCCTGCCTCAGGGAAGTGGAACAGGGTTGGAGCAGAAGTTACTTCCTGCCTGTGGAGGTAACCTGCTAGGGCAGAAAAATAGATCCAATGCTATCTTACCATCTTTCTGCTCCCCCTTGTACCTGTTTTCTCAGGCGACTGAGAGGTCAGGCAGATAGAGAGCTGCTTTCTCAAATTTCAGCAGCTCTGTCAGATCCCAGAAAAGGAAGGTGCATCAGAAAATCTCCCCCTAGGCTAATAGAGTTAATGATCCTGAATTGGAGTGTTTCCAGCCCACAATTCTGGCCAAACAGCACCTGCTGAGGTGGATAGATATAGTTCCTCTAGACAGGCCACCTTCAGCTCTCTTTCTAGTAGGACCTTTCCCCCAATGAAGACCAAATAACCTTCTTGCAAAGCCATTGAATGTAAACAGAAATTTTGATTCTCACTGTAGAAGCATGAGAATGAGGGCCCCAAAATGCTCCATTACGTACCGAAATCAGTTAGAAAGCTGGTGGTGAAGTTTTCATTCAGTCAGTATTGTTACACAAAAGGTACATATCTCCCTAGGTCTGCTGAAGTAGCCTTAGTCCCTTTATCAATAACAGTAGCAGTTGCTGGGTGCAGTGGCTCACACCTGTGGTCCCAGCTACTCAGGAGGCTGAGGTGGGAGGATCACTTGAGGCCAGGAGTTTGAGACCAACCTGAGCAACACAGTGAGAACTCATCTCTTAAAAAAAAAAAAAAAAAAAGAATCGGCTGAGCCTGGTGGCTCATGCCTGTAATCCCAGCACTTTGGGAGGCTGAGGCAGGCAGATCACGAGGTCAGGAGATCGAGGGCAGCGTGGTGAAACCCCGTGTGTACTAAAAATACAAAAATTAGCTGGGCGTGGCAGCGTGCACCTATAATCCCAACTACTTGGGAGGTGGAGGCAGGAGAATTGCTTGAACCCAGGAGGTGGAGATTGCAGTGAGCCGAGATCGCGCTCCAGCGTGGCGACAGAACGAGACTCCGCCTCCAAATAAATAAATAAATCAGTAAATAGAAATTAACTGGACATGGTGGTGCAAGCCTGTAGTCCAGGCTGCTTGAGACTTCCTCCCTCCCTCCTGAGGTGGGAGGGTCGCTTGAACCTAGGAGTTCAAGGCTGTAGTGATTTATGATCATGTCACTGCACTCCAGCCTAGGCAACAGAGTGAGACCCCATCTTTAAAAAAATAAAAAGTAACAGTAGCAGCACTATCAGCTGCTGATTCTTGAGTGCTTGCTATGTGCCACTGTTCTAAGTGCTTTACATGGCTTAATTTATTTAATCATTGCAATAAACTTATGAGGCAAGGTACTGTTACTATTCCCAAGATCAAAGTGCCAGCAAGGTTAGTTTCTTCTGAGGCCTCTCTGGCTTGCAGATGGCCACCTTCATGCTGCCTCTTCTCATGGTCCTTTCTCTACACACACATCCCTAGTGTCTCTTGTTTAGCCAAATTTCCTCTTCTAAGGACACACATCTGATTGCATAGAGCCCACTCTGATGGCCTCCTTTGAACCTCATCACCTCTTTGAAGGCCCTATCTGCAAATACTGTACAGTCACATTCTGAAGTACTAAGAGTTAGGGCTCCAACGTACAAATTTTGGGGGGACACAATTCAGCTCATAGCACCCATACTACCCTATATAGAAACCACTGTTTCTTCCCCCAACCCTGCTTTCCTTCCTCCCTCCTTTTCCCCCATGTCATAGCAGATGTGCTGGTATATCTGTTACATTAACAGCTAATACTTTCCAAATAAATGTGAGGCTGTAGTCAACTAACTTACCAAAAATGTTCAAGTAACCTTTCTTGACATTGAAACTTCCTTGTTGGGCTGTCTCTTAACTAGTGATTCCAGTCAATCTGGTCAATCTTTGTGCTCTTTTTCTAAAGAAAAGAACTTAGAAAAGCTGGGGATATCTCCATTTGCCTATGTATTTGCAATTGGGTTAGGTCTGGTTCTTTTAGATGATTGGGACCTCTCTTGGACTACTCTGGCTTTAGGGAGTTTTGCCTTGCAGCCCCTTAGTTGAGCTCAGATTGACTTCACATGAGACACATGAAGATTGGCAACTCTTTCTTAAACCTGATGATCCAATTAGGCAGGAAGACAGCTTTTGACTTTTTCCTTCTTGGCCCTTTATCTTTTTAATTATTTTATTTTGTTGCTCATTAGCAGTAATGAGGAAGCAAGAAAAATAAAATGAACTGATGATTGTGTGTACCGGTACCATAGATATACATATACTCACATACACAAAGACAGAGTGAGAGGGCGTTCAAAGTAGTTGCCACAGTCAGCTAAAGGATGTGGGGTCCTCAGTGAATTTCTAGTGCTCTGCTCTGCCCTGTGACTTACTGGCACCGGGATTTGCAAATCAGCTAGAGAATGCCTAGGCTTCAGTTTCTCTGCGTTCTCCATCTTCAAAGCTGAACCCTAAAAGAAGGACTGTGTATTCCAGTGACCCATATTACAAGTAAGTGCTCTTTACACCTAGGATTCTGGAAAAAGGGGGGGGGGTGGGCTCTTTCTGGATTCAGGTGAATTATATTAAAGGGTGATTTCCAGTGATACGCCCTTTTGTTTCTTGGAGGGAAGGAGGGGAAGTACATCATGAACCTATTGATTATTAGATTAGCAGGGAGCTCAAAGCTTGTCTGATGTAATCTTATCTTCCAGAGGGTGAATTTAGGAGGATAAATGACTGGTTTAAGTAGTCAAGGTGGGTGCTCCCAGAACCCATATCTCTTGACTGAGACTTCAGAGTTATTTTTCTATTCCATGAATGAAAT